CTCGGAAGGAAGATGGGGCAATCTACTTCCGTAGTGATACTGCCTCAGAAACCCAAGGAGGGGTCGCTATGAGTCAGGTCCGACTCAACGGCACATAACAACAACAACAGCAACCATCTTAGCCCACACATGGCCTTAAGATTGGAAGCAATGCACTAACGATGAGAGAGCAGAAAACCTAAAAGAATGTAGGTCCTTGATAACACCATGGAAACACCAAATCAACCTCTGGCCTCCTTTCACAAAAAAGAAAAATAAACTTCTTTCTTATTAAAGCCACTATTACTTTTAGTCTCCATTACTTGAAATAATTACTAATAGATTCAGTTGGAAATTAAATCAAATGAAATGCCCATAATAGAACTCATAAAAACATTTCTTCGTCCAGAACTTACTAACTCACTGAATGCCACTGTTATTCATCCAGTTTGATAATCATCAAATCTGGGAATACTATTAGATTTCTTTCTCCAAATCTACTTAGTCATAAGTCCAACAGATCAAACATATTAAAAATCTGTCAAACGTGGCCTTTGTTTTCCGTTATCCTTCACATTGCTTTGTGTTCTGCTTACCTAGTGCTGCTCTGACAAGAATATACCACAAATTGGATGACTTGAACAAACGGGAGTTTATTCTCTCACAGTTTGGGAGGCTGGAAGTCCGAGTTCAAAGTGCCAGGCTCTACGGGCTGTGTGAGAGCCCCTCGACCTTGGGCCGCAGCTCTGCCTCTTGCTCCTGGCCCACTGAAGCTAGAGGCATCTCTTCACTCAGGCAGCTACTGGCTGCTGAAGCTAACAAGCCCAAGGTCGACAAATAAAATGGCGCAGTCCTGATGTTACTAAACTACACGGCAGGCCATTAATTCAAGTCCACTGTAAGTCCCAAGGTAGGCAGGGCATGGCAGGCTACTGAAAAATAACATGGCTACATGCAGGGTCCAAGCGTGCCATAGGCTAGAGACCATTCCCAAAGCTGTTTCTTACATATGGGAAGTAGACCACTTACCCAAAGTAGCTACTCAGCTGCTCCAATAGATTCCACCATGGAGTTAATTACCAATCTCACCATTGGGACTAACTCTATTCAGCTGTCCAGCCACTCAACCAGGCCCAGCCAAGTTGACACACAAACTTAACCACCACACTTTGCTTCAGGCTTCCTCATTGGATTACTTTTTTTGCTTCTAGGTAAAACTCACATCCTCACACTTCCACTCCTGCAAATGACCCTCCACAACTGTACCAGAATGACCTTTTTAAATGACTTATATTTGAACAGGCACTTTTCTTACATAAAGTATCTTAACTGACCTCACTGCCTTCAGGATAAAATCTTAACCCCTCAACACTGTGTACAAGACCGTCCTTCACATTCTATTCCTTATCTGCCTCCTCAGTCCTAGCTCTCAGGACCCTTTCCCCAGTATTACATATACATGTCACATAATCCAGTCCTATTAAACCACTCGCAGTTTACTATACTGCCATGGTTTCTCATGAGTTTTTGCGTTTGGAAGGCTATTTCTCTGCTTAAACCACTCACTACTTTAAATAGCCAATTTCTACTCAATTTTAATGTCAGTTTCTCCAGGTGGTTTTCCCCAGACTGATGCTTATTTATTTTTTTTATTTATTGTGATTTGGGTGAAGATTTACAGAGCAAATTCACTTTCCATACAGCAGTTCACATATACTTTGTCTCATGTCATTGACCATAGTTTATCACAATGCAACAG